TGAGAAATCTTAATCTTTTTAAGTTAGAATTTGAGTCTCTCTCGATCTCTCTCTCTCTCTATATATAGATATATATAAAAGTATTTATATGTCACACACACACACATCCAAATTTATTTGGTGTGTTGTAAAGAAAGAACAGTCACTGTCCTGTTGTTCCTCATCTCCTCTTCCCATTAGGAGGGTTAAATTATAATGTGACCCTCTGAGGAACTCCTGTCCTGGGACCTCTAACACCACCTTTTCTTCTCCCCTGTACTACGTGTTTCCAATGTGTGGATGATATGGATTAGATGTAGATTGTTCATATCCTCTACAACACAGTACTCATGATCAGATGTGGACTATATAATGTCATCATATATCTTCTTTAACTTTTTATGCTTCGTTATAGCTAGTGATATATATATATATATTATTTTTTTCATATATATCACACGTGGACGTGTTAATGATGGATCTTAAGTCGCTAGTCGGACAATTTTGGATTTGGAGGCTGGAACTAAATCTAAAGTTGGTTGCAGCCAAAAATTTCATTTAAGATTATTGTTTTATATATGAAGCCTCAAGAAGTTTTAGGATTTCTCAGGAAGAAAAAAAAAATGGAATTTATAGGATTTATCTTGCTTGAATTATAAGATTGTGTATGAGGAGGCTGGAAAAAAGGAATTTCATTTAAGTTAATTGTTTTATATATGAAACTTACTTTTCCAAAAAATTAAAAACTCCAAAGCAAGTGCAGATGAGAACATGAGGGAGCCTACAATTTCTAATATTTGAAGGATGAATTCAATTACATCAAAACATTTAAATTCAATACACAATATTGGAGCTTACACTTCCAATTCTGAGCTGAAGGATGAAATCAATTTACTCTTGCTTAAACTTCCCAACAAAATATTTATTATTATTACACAAGTGCACTCCACGTGTGCCGCATGCACTACAGCTAGAGGTTTCTACCTTTTTTTTTTTTTTTTTTTGATCCCTTGAACTGTTATTGTAATATATATATATATATATATATATATATATATATATATATATATATATATATCCCTCTAGAGTTCTTAAAAGCTTAAATGGGCATGACACTTCAATCTTTCTGGAACTAAAGTTATGGACCACAAATGCATCTTTTCAGATGTTGCAGTAACACTATGCATGGGAGTCAGCATTAAACTTAATATATCCTAATTAATCGGTCATTTTCTTGTTCTTGTATATGTGTATATATATATATTTTAAAGGTAAAGGTATAAGATATGTTCTTATATCTATATATAGTATCAATATTATATATATATATACACACACACACACGAACACTATATTCTCTTGCCCCTTTTTTTTTTCTTGAATTATTCTCTTACACTTTAATCTACATAGAATACCTTACTAAAAAAAGAAAAGAAAAACACACACACACACACAATATATATATAGTCGACAATCCCATAAGTTCAATCTTTTGAAAGTACAAGCTAGAAGCTACTGCATGCAAAGAATCAAGCAATCAACTAACTTGCGAGTTGCGGCTAAAATGAAGTGAAAATTTAACGGACGACTACGTCACAACTTTTAACTTTGTACACCTTTGGACAGGAGATTAAATTATGATAAGAAGTATGCAGATATATATATATAGAAGTAGTGAAAGAGAAGACAATTATATAAATTGATTTTTGTATGTATATAAATATTTTAAAAATTACAATGTGTAGTTCTGATTTCATCTTTTGGTAATTAATTTTATCTTCTTTTGAACTAGTGCAAAGAAAAGACAGTTATATTTTTGTATGTATATATTTTAAAATTTACAATGTACCTCTTGAAAATTACTGAAGGTGTCGGCTTGAAATTCTCTTGAACCATTACATTATTAAAGGTATAAAAGTCTTGATGGGACGGATAAGGAAAATGAGTATTTGCATAAAATATTTCAATCCTTTTACTTCTAATTAATATATTTCTCAATATTTAATTTAAATGATAAATTTTATTTAGAGGTATCAAACATGAGATAACTTTTTGAATAGTTACTTTTAACTCAAAGTCTTCACGTACCCACATGCGCTAGCTCTATTGAAGAGTTGAAGACTTGGACAGAGAAGTACATTTCCTTTGTTGGGTGGGGGAGTTGAGAGTTGGGTGGGTTCTTCAAATTTTCAGAACCCTCAGTAATTTTGCATTACCATTTACCAAGTGTGTGTGGTTATGGTGATCGATGTGTGTGTGTGTGTGTGTGTGAGAGAGAGAGAGAGAGAGAGAGAGAGAGAGAGGAAGAGAGAGAGAGTTATGTTTCTACTTTAGCTCTTTGAGTTTCACATGAAAACGCCATGGCCATATTTTCTGAATTTGGTAGTTGTAAGTTAATGACGTCCACATGAGCAATGTTCCCTCATTTTACTTCAATCACTGCCAAATGGTCCACATCTTTGATTTTAGATATTGACATGAGAGAGAGGCTGGTGAATAATATTTCTTCCAATTTAATTACCATGATGTGAAATAATAATAATAGTAGTAATAAATAAACAGAATAATGCCTAACATTTTCAAACATTTATATGAAAAATGATAGAAAATAATTCAACATATACCTGATTAATGGAGATAACTAAAGTACAACAAAGCCAAAAGGATATCCTAAAATTCTGTCACATACACATGGTTTCAAACTAATTTAATTATCCTCCTATGAAAAAACCTATTCCCAGCAAAGTATAATACGGATATATATCTAGACAAATTTTGCAGCTGTTCATTAGTACTTTTTGAAAAGTCTCATATATATATATATGTGTGTGTGTGTGTGTATATACAGATAATACGGAGTTAGGTCCAGGCACTTGGGGGGTCATATAACCAATGCTGTTTGGCATCAAATGGTAGTAGTGGTCCCAAACAAGTACTCTCCTATGTGTTCCATCTGATTTTATCTTCCTTTGCACTACTTCCTCCACACATAAATTTCTTTTTTCTTCCCATGGGTAGAGTAGTAGGGTCCTTGATGGCCACTTGTTAATGGAAAGCTTTACTGTAAACTCAATATGATAGACACACAACTTATTTAAATGTGACTGCGCATACATACATACATATATGTATATATATATACACACACAGTTTAGGTGACTTGGGGAAATAAATTTGGTTCCTTACAATATAGCACTATTTTTTTATTCTTCCTTTTTTCTTGGTTCCTTGTAATATAGCAATTTTCATGTATTATAAGAATTTTGGTTTTTAATCCTTGTCAATTCTAGAAAGATAGGTATATCTGCAGCCAAGTGGTCTGGTTATTTCCTATCAATTGTCACAACTCACAAGTCAAGATAGGTTGATGTATTATGCTTGAGTCATTAATTACAAATTGAAAACCTTAACCAAATCATGCATAAAACATGATTGCATTTATCAAAACAAACCCCACTTGCACTTCAAAATTTTCCACTTCCTTTCAAATGCGGAAAGGGGGACTATTAATTGATTATTAAACTTTAAATATATATAAATATACTTCTTAAAAAAAAAAAAAAACTCACACAAGCACTTTATTCTCTCAAATAAACATAGACTTTCTACGTTACAAGGTCAAAAAAAAATACAAATAAAACTATAACTTATAGCAGTGAAAAGATTGACCACATCTCTTTTACTGTAATTATCCTTAATAGGAGTAGTAAAGTAGCTGTGAATAGGCATATAGAAAAAAACTACACAAACCCGTCAGTTTTTGTAGTTATGATAATCATTAATTTGTACATTAAGTGGGTTGTATAGTTGGGTAAAAATCAATCGTTAAATATTTCATTTTCTTATAGAAAAAGTTCGATTGAGATGCTCTTGTCACAACTGTAATGAGATTTAAAAAAATATCTAACTTTAAAAGATCGTCGTTAAATTTTTGCATTAAAATTGATTTATAATAGACCACACGAATAAATTATTATCTCTAAGTTTCTTGATTTGTAATGGGCGGTGGGACTAACATCCCATTTACTTTCTCATTTAAATCCGATGCGAGCAGGGTTGCAATTCGGGCGGGTTTGAAGTATAACTTAAACCTACTCACCATATAAAATGCTAAATCCAAGTCCAACCCTAACCATATCTTCAATTCTAACTACTCAACTCGAGCCTAACCCATATTTCTACTTTTAAATTCAGGTTTCGAACTCGGGTTAATTTAGATTCTGGATTAAAAATTCGGATTAATTCGGGTTACTCATATAGCTAATCTTCATACTGAAAGTTTAATATGATCTTGAATTAGTTTTAGATTAAATTATTCTTAAACAAAAAAAAAAATTTAAAAGACTTTTTGTAAATTTTTAATAAATTACAAATAAATCCTTAAAAAATTAATTATCCAAAATGTTAGCATACAATAAGTTAAGATTTAAGAAGGAAGTTGAAAAGGAAAAAAAAATAATTATAGTTTAAATATTATATATAATGTATTTTAAAATTAAAAATATATATGAAAATAATATTAGAATTCAGGTTTGGATTGGTTATGCATTGTTAGCATCTCAACTCAAACCTATCCCTAATTAAATTTGGGTTGAGATTTTTCAACCCATACTCAACCATAATTCTAAAAATGATTGTCTAAATCTGTAAAAAAATCGATCTGAGCTCAGGTTCTAGATGTGAGACAAGTCCCACTTGTAATATTTTTCTCCACTTGAACTTGCAATGGTCTGCCTACCTGGAAAGGCTCACTCGGGCCCATCTGGACCAGGCACAAATTGGTTCACCTATAATACCAACTGCAACGGCTTGAGTGTTTCGCAATATGACCCACCCAACCCATATATACTGGTTTACTTTAGCATGAGTTACCCACACGGGCCACACCACAAGTACAAGAGTGGGCTGGACACAGAGGAACGATCAGCCCAAGCCATTGATAATGGTACTCTAGAAGTGGGCCGAGTCAACGATGGGGAGAGCCCACGACCAGGAAGCCTGTTAGGAAGCGTTCTCTCTCTCTCTCTTGTTGCAAGACCGTTTGGTAGTGTCCTCACTGTCCTGCAACTCGTCTTGATACGCTGTTAATCCCAAGCGACAGATAAACTCTGCCTTTTCGGTGTTTGTCTCCATTAATGATCAGAACACAAGGTATGCTTCTCATTTCTGACCTTTCCTGTTCAAATTTCATTGTTAATTGCCGCAATTGAGACGAAGAATTTTCTCTAGGTTTTGATTAGGCTGTTCAGCGAATTCTACGAAACCCTAATTTATTTATTTTACTTCTCTGCGCACAAATAATTAGACTCTGCTGGCTGCACATGTCAAATGATGCTATTTGGATTCCGATTGCATTCGAAACTTGGCCAAATGGAGTCATCACCCTAATATGTGAAAAATATTGTTTAAAATGGAATGAGGTTATTTAGAATGCTTTGAGAAAATAAACTGAATTATTATTATTTTATTCTGCGCCCAAACTGATTATTCCAATGCATTTACTTTTGATATTTTGTTCATAAGACGAGGGTTTGGTAATCATTAATATATAGTAATTACAATAATGCTAACTACTAGTATTACATTTCAAAGAGATCTATTCCTTGGCAATAAAAAGAGAAACTGTGAATGGAGACTAGATTGATAATCTGATGATAAAATAGAATCACGGGTCACGAGTCACAACTAGAGCACATTGTAGTTGAGGATCCCATTATGGTGATATATTGGCTGAAATGCAATAAACAAATATGACAGTTTTGTACAATTTTCATTGATTTTGTCTCAAAGGAGTATATATGCCTGAATACTATTGGAACCAAATGGAAAAGGAATGCCAATTCTTCAATACATGGTAAATAATTATGCAATGATGCCATTAAGGACAAAAACAAATGTTACAGAGAGAATGGTGTATTCATGTAGAGAGAGAATTTATTTTGTCAATGCTCAAAGCAATGCATCTGTCAACTCTTCATACCTCCACTTTGATTAAATTATCTCTCTGCATGAATACACCATTTTTCTTTATTGAGCTATAGAATCTTTTCTTGGTTTCTAGGATTTTACTTCACAGATATCACATAAATTTAATTGAGACTACAATTATTATTATTATTTTTATAATAATTTAAACTGATTAAATGGTAGGCCTGTGTTTTCACTAGTTAATTGGTAGCATATCAATTTTAACAAGACCTGACTATTGAATAGGTTACACATGTCGCGTCATTGCTCACAATCTTGTGTTGCACAAAATGGTATACCTAGTTTTTTGTTGTCTTGGACTTGAACCAAATTGGTCCTCCTTAGTCCTTACAAGCAAAACAGTCAAATCAATTTTGCATGTGACATCATTTGTCCACATTTCATATAAACAAACCAGTTGTCTATGCACTAGTTACCATGCATTCCCTTTAGCATTGTAGAAAGATGAAGGTGAATTTGTTTACGTTTACATTAAAATTATATAAGAAAAAGATTTTTGGCGATCCTCTCAATGCTTTTGTATGTTTGTTGACAAGACAAGTTTCAAATGGTTAATTTTAGTGTGACAAATGTAAGGACAATCCAATTATATTTTCTCTTCCAAGACTAAACTCTATGGGCAAACTGTGTGACTTATGATTCTCACATTTGAAATTATCAACATAGAATGGAATCAGGAAGTTTCAATGAAGATGTTAACATCATCTTAGCTAAAACATCTATCATATATCATATTGATGTAAAGGATCACTTGTTTTTATTAAATTTGAATGACACTTAACCTATCAGAATTCTCTTTTAGTTCCATTTCTGGAGCGGCCTCACTTGTCAATATATGCATGCAATCCCATTATCATCATTATATATGCTGACCGTGGTAACATTTCATCTATGGCTAGACAAATTGGAATAGTGAAACAAGATACATATAGCTAACATATAATGTCGGAATAAGGTTTTGTTGAGTTGAGCCTTAGTAGATATGCTAATAAATTTCTAAGCTATGATTGTCAATGTATTTATCTTCCGGGGCATTTCTTTTCAGGTATGCAACTATGAAAGAAAAGAACCCTACTTCTAAACTCAAGCATATTTTAGTGAATTGTGCAGCACAGGTCTGTTATTGTGCTCAATTAAGTCTTCCTTTTAAATTCCTTTTGTTCTTGGAATTAAGCATCTGCTGTTCCAGAGTCACATATATGAACTTTAGCTAACTTGGAGTTAAATTCCTTTAGTGAATTGCGTAGAGCAGCTTTAGCTCAATATTATAAGGGCACCACATGAACCTTGGATTTATTAACAATATATCTATAAAATGTCCCTTAACTTTACTTTAAGGTAGTAGGAAAGGAAATCCTAATATTCTTTAAATTAATATATAAATTTAAAGGTCGGTGAGACATTAATAAATGTCAATGAGACAGGCAAATCACCTTATGTATTTAATGACTTAGAATTTCATTGATGAAAACATGACATAAAAAGATTTGGATTACTATCAATTTTTTTCTATATAAATTATTGTATTTCTATGCACTTTTACATTCTAATATTTCATGTTATTATATAAAATTTAATTATTATTAATTACCAAGTAATAGAATTATCAATTATCCATCATGAAACCAAATAATTCCTCCAAAAAGTAGAGTTAGTAAAGAAAGATATGATAGCATGTGGTTGATTGATGCTATGACCTTAAATAGAGCAGAGTGGAAACATAGGCCCCAAGTAATTGGGAAAAGGCTTTGATATTGTAGAGATTAGCGGATCAACTTTGAAATAGGATGAGTGATACAGACGAATAGTTTTGAGGTTTTTGTGCAAGTGACGTGTTGTGAACTGGGAAGCACGGATACGGACCCAAGATATAGATACGACACGATACGGACATGACAATACGACAAATCTTAAAAACATTAGACACAAAAACGGTAGAGATAAGTAAAAAATTAATAATATAATACACATTTGTATGTATAAAAAAATCATTTTTGCTTATTTTATCCATATAATCATGAATAAAATCACTAATTTATAACTTATTGTTTTAGTTATTTAAAATTTCATATTCTTTTTCTAATTAACCCATAATATATTTTAAATTGCATTGAATCCCATTTTTCTAAAAATAATTACAAAACCACCCCTTCGTGTCCTGTAAGTGTCCCAAATGTGTCATTGTTGTGTCCAGTCAGAAAATAAAATATTCAAATTCTAGGACACTTATAGCCGTGTCCGCGTGTTCGATACAGCCAGAGCACCCCTAGGTGATGTGTCCGTTCTTCCTAGGTTGTGAAGCTGAAAAGAGAGTTTCATGAAACAGTCAAACACCAACCATGCCTCAATGAACAAATGTTGGGCAACTAAGTAACGTGTTTATAAATTAGTGAAAACAATATGTGTATGTTGAGATGCATTTATGGATAGACAAGATATGGTAACAAATAAACAATATTTTTGAGATATCAGAAGTTGGACCGAGGAGGTAGAAGGATGAAAAAACCAATTAAGACAGTGTTTGTCACATTTTGTAATATTCATGTTTGCTAGTGCAGAAAACTAATGTACTCCTCATTGAGGGCATTTCTAGGGTAAGGGAAAAGACTGAAATCGGCCTAGGTTGAGGTAGTAAGGAAAGACAAATAGCGTATGGGCTAATTAAATATTTAAAAGTATGGCACTATATAGAGGCACAATACGTAATGGTAAAATAAGTTTCTTGTAATAGTCTCACAGTAGTTGGTGTAAGGCTTTATTGGGTTGTGTTGAAGTTTGTGCTTGCATCTAAAACCAGAATTGCGTCTCTTTATATGCACGAGATATGAAGATGTGATAAGCTGTGTGAATCTTTTGAAGTTTTGAACATTGGCTCCGTTGTGAGTTATATATTTTGCACTTTTAATAACTTATATATATTTGTCTTCTTTTAGTTTATGCAGCTCTCTTTATTTAGTCCATTACTATTTTGCATTTTGAGTTTTCATGTCTCACTAGGGTTCTTTACCATGAATTGCTGTTAAGAAGTGAATAGAAGTGCTTAATGCCTTGTAACTGAAATTGCAATTATAAACTCTATATGTGCAGGCAAAAGATTATGGGAGTTGTGTTGCCGCGAAAGTTCCAGAAGTTGAACGAGATATGTGTTTAAAAGAATTTCTTGCATTAAGGACTTGCATGCAGAATGTGGTATGATTTATTTTATTATCATATGCGACGGGAAATTAATTTCTTGGTATTGGTGTTTTGTTTCTTTCCTTTTGACCAAAAGTTGCATTTATCTCTTTCTTTTTGCATTATAGCTCAGACGAAAAATTTAAGATCCTGTCCATCTTTCATAAATATCTCGAGGTTTATACTGAACACTGCAGGCCCAATTCCAATGGCTCAGAGATCTTAATTTGAGCATGACAAAAGGTTTGATATTCATCATTTATAAAAAAATATTTTTTTGCTCATCTGAAATGATATGCTGTCCCTCTCACATTTGTTTCTGCCACCCTAATTTTTTCTTCCCTTTTTTTATTTTTATTTTTTTATTTTCCCTTTCTTCAGTGCTATTGTAGCTTTGAAGCTTGGTATAGGCTTCCCCACTGTGGTACTTTCTAAGCTCCGCAACATTTGAGTTAGTTGAAAGGTTTGGAACTAGGAAACATGTTTGGGAAAGCATCAAGTTCTCAGCTTAGTGTTGGTTTCAGTGGATCTGGCGCTTTGTCACATGTTTATATTCAGTCTCCACCTTTAAGATGCAGCATTCCTGGATCAGTAGGTTTATTTTATGATGATGGGAATAAGTTACTACTCTCGCCAACATCTGATCAGGTAATATGATAGATCATAAATAAAATACTTTCAGTGCATTTGCATGATCAACAATTAACTTTCCACAAGTGACGAGACAAATGCTTGAGCATGTAAGTTTTTTAGTTGTACCGTTTGAACTGAATTGTGCGAGTCCCTTCTTTCTTCTAGGTTTTCTCATGGAAAACCGCTCCCTTTGCTCCACATGTTGCTCCCACCTGTGACTCAATAAGCGAAGGGCCAGTGTTATCAATCCGGTATTCTCTAGATGCAAAGATTTTAGCTATTCAACGTTCTAATTATGAGATTCTGTTTTGGAATAGAGAAACCGGAGATACTTTTAGTCAGGGATGCAGATCTGAGTCAGAGAGCATTCTTGGATTTTTTTGGACAGACTGCCCAACCTGTGATATTATATTTGTAAAGACCAGGTGTGCACTAGAAAATTTTCCCAACTATATTAGAAAATTTTAATATAATTTATTATTATTATTTTAAATATATGATATCTCAACTTGATTAGAAAAAATTACATCTTCTATTGATATATGATCTGTTAAGAGAATGTTCTTTTTTCTAGATAAATGTGGTTTTGGGAAAATACTTCCTTAATCTGCTTGATGGTTTGGTTTCATATCTCAGTTGGTACCTGTCAGTTGTCACATGCCTTGATCATTCTTTTCAAATCAGTTTAGCATTATGTTTCTTGTGTTTGACGCCTGATGAACTCTATGCATGTGGTTTAGCTAGAACACCTTTTGATGATGACACAAAATATTATTCTCTCTCTCTCTCTCAACATTTAATCCATGATATATTTTTTGAATTTGGAAACAATTTTGGACTTCGTTAGAGTTGAGATGGATAGTCCTATTTACTAATATGCCATGATATCCATTTAAACCTTTGTGAAACTGACAAGGAGTTGGAAACACAAATGTCACCAATACTCATGCCTTGGTTAGCAATCTGATGGAGACCAAGACGCAACTCGAGATCTGAAACTGTATATGACTCTCACCAATATCATAGAAGGGGGCAAGATAAATAGAAATATGAATTTTTGTAAATTAGTGATACTTAATTCTGTTATTGTTATTTTTATAATGTTTTGTTTTAGGGTTATTTTCATATTTTTCTATTTTAGGGTTTTTAGATTTTGGTTATGATCTTCTCTATATAAAGGCTACTATGTAATCAAAATATTCAGCTTTGATTATTGGAATATTATTGTGGTTTTAGAATTCTCTCCCTTCTTACCCCGCTTTGCTCTTGCTCATTTCAACCCTTCAGCTATCCAGCATTCCAGCCTTCCAGCCTTCCTTTTCAATCTGCCTTCTTTCCTCCTCCATTTTTTTCTCATCTCCTTCTTCTTGCCTTATCTCATCTTCTGCCTTCTCATCCCCTGCTTTTATTCTATTCTACTTCAACTTGATTGCAGAATTCATACCAGTCCAGCATCACCTTCCCCATATAAATAAGGAAGAGGTGAAATTGAATCTATTATAGGAATGACGGATAAAATTTACCATAAGGAAGTGGAATACACAATTAACCATCGAGGAATGGAGAATGTTAGGAATGGTAGGAATTATGTATCTATTGACGCATGGAGAAAAACATAATAATACCAATTTAATTTACAAAAATAACGGGGATATACAAAATTGTGGCAACTATAGAGGGATTAAATTGATGAATTATACAACACAATGAAATTATGAGAAGGGGTGATAGAATAAAGATTAAGGACGGAATCAACAATATCCAATAACCAATTTGGGTTTATGCCGGGAAGATAAACAATAAAAGCAATTTACCTAATAAGAAAATCAATTGAGGAATATAGGAGTAAGAATAGAGATCTACATACAGTTTTTATAGACTTAGAAAAAACATTTGATAGGCCCTAAGAGACATAATTTGATGGGCTTACAAAGAATACAAATTCCTATGCAAATAATGAAAATTATTCAGGATAATATATGAACACAGACACTACAGTTCGTTCTATATGTGGGAAGACTAGTGAGTTATCTATAAACATAGGATTACACCATGGATGAATGTTGAATCTATATTTATTTGCAATAATTTTAGATGAAATAACAAAAGCCTTCCAAGGGATCATTCCATGGTGCATGTTAGTTGTCGATGATATATTGTTAGAGGATACCTCTAAAGAAAACGTAGCAATAAAATTAGAAATGTGGAGATATGCATTAGAATAAAAATGATTGAATATTAGTTGAACTAAAATAAAGTATATTGGACTTCTCTGGGTTATGCCTGGATCCACTAGAGGGTTGATTGAGGCGTGGAGAGGTTGCCCTGTGGGGGCTCACATTCAGGATTCGTGGAGGGCTATGCCGCTCTATGTGTGATGGTGTATTTGGCTTGAGAGGAATATGAGATATTTTGATGGGAAGGAGATGTCGATTTTGGTGCTTAAATTCGCTATTCTTTCCACTCTTTTTTGTTGGGTTTCAGGGAGAGATCATAGATCTTTAGAGGAGATTGTTGATTTTTTGGCCTCTCTGAAGGCTTAGAGGCCCTTTGTGGTCTTGTGTATTTCTCTTGGGTTCCGTTCCCCTTTTGAGCGCTTCTATAAAATTTTACTTATAAAAAAAAAAAAGAGTATATTGACTGTAAATTTAATGAAGGTTCAGATTTTTTAAATATAATGATAACTCTTCAAAACCAAAGGATTATTCATAATAATCACTTTCGATACCTAGGATCAATAAATACAAAATGATGGAGAAATAGATAGGGATATAACTAGTAGAATTGGATTAGGCTGGAGAAAATGGAGACAGGCTAGTGGCATTTTATGCAACAAAAGATTCACAAATACATTTAAAGGAAATTGTATATGACAGTTATTAGGCCAACTATTCTTTATGGTGCAGAGTTTGGGCTTCAAAAAAGAAACAGGAGCAACGCCCTCATGTAGCGGAAATGAGAATGTTAAGATGGATGGTCAAAGTACCTTGTAGAGATAGGATTACCAATGAAAGTGAGAAAAATTAGGAGTGACGTCCATTGGTGAGGAGATAAGAGATAATAGATTAGATGGTGTTGGTTAACAGAATATTTTATGTCAAGAACATTTTGGGGAATCTTGCATGTGATTGGTAATGTTTTTATTTGTATTCAATTTATATTGTTGGTTTTTTTAATTAGTCTCTCTTTGTTCGATGAACTTTTCCCAGAACTCATTAAAATTTCTATAGACTTGTACTTGTTCCACTGAAATGGAGTTTGATTACAGCGGGCTGGACTTGTTTTCTTACAATTCCAATCTGAAATCGCTTCATTTGGTTGAGACAAAGAGATTTAATGTGAGTTGGTATGTCTACACACATGAAAGCCGCTTGGTTCTTCTAGCTTCAGGAATGCAATGCAAGAGTTTTACTGGATATCAGGTATAACTACTTGATTATTTTGTGGCCAAAATTTCAAATCCTTTCTCATCTAGGCTTTATTTGCTTCAGAAAATTAATTGTCAAGACTTTGGTTTTGTTGAACTCCACTGTATTTATCTTTGTGGTGTTTTGTGGTTTTAGTGTGGAAAAGGTCGTCACTCCACTATATTACTCTCTCTCTCTCTCTCTCTCTCTCTATATATATATATATATATATATATATATATATATTTATATATTTGCAGGAAGGGGCTGCTCTCAAACTTTCTTGTGCTTTGAAGCCAGAGCTTTTACCTTTATACCAAGGAATATCCCCTTCTAGTTAGTATTAGTAATGTAAAGTAGGATTTGAGCAGGGCTGTATGAGAAAGCATTTTTGAGCTTAGTGTGTTGTTTTCATTCATTTCGGACAACTAGTGAGCTCAAGTTCAATGTATTATGAAGCATATCTCCAGACACGTACCATGTTGGTTTAATTAGGTTAAGCTGTAATTATTTTCTCATCTAGATTTGCAGTTGCATCTAAGTTATTCATGGTTGAGCATAATGAACAACTGTTTCTGAAACCTTAGCAGCTGAAAGGAAAAAAGGTCAATTACTATCTTAAATTAAATTAAATTCGGCCAATCTTGCTAAATATTGAATTTTGGATAAGAAAGTAAATAGTTTAGGGTAGGATGTCTCATCAGATTTTAGTTGCGCATAGAGATTTTTGTAGTTCCTGAGGTCAAGAATGGAGTGAGAACACCTTTTTTCCCCCCTTATAAAACCTTCATGTTACTCATTTATTCCAATCTGATATGCTGTTCTTTTCTTTTTCTATTTTTCTCTTTCTTTTATTTTTTAAGAAAACCACACTATGATGAAACCATCTACACCTATATACTTCCAGTTGGTGCAATGCAGTGCTGCTGTGAATTCAAGTTATTTTCACAAATATGGATATCTCATTCAACCCCCTCCTTAAAAAAATAATAATAGAATCTTGTATATATTAAATCTTTGATCTTGTCAGGGAGAGAGTTTTCCATTCCATGATTCTTGAGGTATGTTTTGGTCCGGGTATGTGTGGTTTTTGATCTGAGTACTTTCCCCACATGGGACTTGAGTGGAGTGGATGACTAATTTTTATATATATAATACATACATTTTTTTTTTTACATAGTTTACGTTTCTTCTTTTCAGCTTTCATCTGCAGGAATTATTCGCTTGCCAAGGTTTGAGATGGCAATGGCTAAATCTGAGGCGAACAGTAAGCCCGTCCTTGCTGCTGAAGATGTCCATATTGTGACTGTGTAAGGTTTTATATTTATTTTCTTACATTTCTTGTGAACAAAGTTAATTTTTTTTTTGTCCAAAATGTAATACCAAATTCTCTTCTCGAGTCACAGCTATGGTAGGATATACTGCTTGCAAATCGATAGGGTTGCAATGCTACTTCACTCGTATAGGTTCTACCGCGATGCTGTTGTACAGCAGGTGAAATCTTGCTCAAATTTCTTCCTAATTCAATATTTTGTTCGACTTACGTACAATGCTTGGAAATTTGTTCCAATGATGACTAAATATGGTGGAAGTATTGTCAAATGTGCATTTGTTGGGTTCATTAAAATGAGTGGGACAGGTTTCTCTTTCCAGTTTGCATTTTGATAAAATGTATTTTTCAATAGATTTTTGAATTCTGATCGTAAATTTGAAAATACTTCTGAGCAATTGCAAAATGAATGATGATCTGAAATCACATGAGTGCCTTCTTTTAACCTCTAAAATAAGTAGGTTAGCATGACTCTTAGTATTTGACAGTACTTTATATGTGCTCACCTTATGAAATGTTCCATGCCATATCTTGTCTGTTGATTTTCCAATGCCTGTACATTTCAATTAGGAATCTGGTTATCATCTTCTCCTGGTAGCTCCGTGCACTTTTGAAGTAACCCAAGTTAGCAGTGGCTTAGTTACAATCGCTCATTAGCTCTATGCATTGAATTAACCCAAGTAAGAAGTGTCCTTTGACTGTACCACCAACTATTAGCTTAGTGGGGGTATCTCCTGCAACTCCAAAGGGGGAGGTGCAAGGTTCAAATAGGGGCGTGATGTTCAAATTGAATTGGACAACGCTACTGCTGCTTCCTTGATTAATGATTTGCGGGTTCATTTTGCTTTAAAAGGTCTTCAGTGCGAGCCACAGGGCCTTGTTTCTGATGAGGAGTTTGTGACTCCGATGGCTGGTTGCTCTCCATCCAATTCGGTTCTTGAGGATTGGGAGGGAGATTCCTGTTCTTTGTTTGTTGGGGAACTCGATTTGGTGCAGTGGGAAGATTTGGAACATGATGCTGTGCTGTGTGCTCCCCTGGCTTGTGTTCGACTGAAAGGGGGGTGTTTGAATGGGCCTTCGGCTGTTGAGGGAGGGGAAGGTTTGGAGGAGGAGTGGTTGAGAGAGAAAGGTGGGGAGGTGGGCTCTCTGTTGGGTGTGTCTTTCGAGGGTAGAATGGAGGAGGCGATGAATAAGTTCCATGATGTCCTTCTTTCTCAAAAGATGGAGAGGATGGGTTGTAGGGGTGGTTTTCAGTTTGGGAGGGGTGAAGGAGGGGCGAATCACTCCTGATTTGGTTACATGTGAAAGAAGAAATAGGGGTTCACGGGAGAGGGATAGTGGGAGGAGGAGAGGGGTGGGCTTTTTTACTATTTCCCTATGAAGCTACAAATTTTGTCATGGAATGTCCGGGGTCTCAATGATCCGGTGAGAAGGAAAGTCGTGAAGTCGGTTATTCGAAAATGGGGTGTTCATGTGGTGTGTCTGTAGGAAACAAAGATTGCTTTGATGACAGAGCTGATTATGTGTAGTCTTTGGAGCGGGAGATTTATGGAGTGGTGTGCTTTGGATGCTTTTAGTTCTTCGGGTGGTGTTCTTGTGATGTGGGATAACAAATGGGTGTCTTTGGTGGATTCTCGGATTGGGAGATTTTCTATTTCTAGTGTGTTCTTGTTGGTGGAAGATGGCTTTCATTGGGTTTTTTCTGGTGTTTATGGGCCTACGGAGGATTCGTTGCGTTTCTGTGGGAGGATAATGGTTGTTGCCGTGGTGTATTGGTGGGGATTTCAATGTTGTGCGGTCCTCTTTTGAGAGATTGACGGGGGGTCGGTGGACGTCCGATATGGAGTCCTCCTCAGCCTTTATTGATGACTTCGGGTTGGTTGACTTGCCCTTGGAGGGAGGTCCTTTTACTTGGTCCAGTGGACAGTCCCCTCCTACCCTTTCTCGGCTTGATAGATTCCTTGTTTTAGGCGATTAAGAGGAGAAGTTCTCTGATGTTGCTCAGGCTACCTTGGCTCGCCCTATCTCTGACCATGTTCCATTGATGTTGGATTGTGGCGGTTTGCGTAGTAGGCATTCTCCTTTCAGATTTGAGAACATGTGGCTTCGTGTTGAAGGTTTTCTAGATAGGGTTCGTCTCTGGTGGGTTGGGTTTGGGGTGGTTGGTACCCCTAGTCATATGCTCGCAGGCAACTTGCGTCTCCTGAAGAAAAGTCTCAAGGTTTAGAACAAAGAAGTCTTTGGGAATCTTGTTTGGAGGAAAAATCGGGTCTTTTCTGAGATTGCGGTTATTGACCGGATGGACGGTCAGGGGTCCTGGCGGATTCCTTGAAGGCTAGGACGGTGGAGTGTCAGGTGGAGTTCGCTGAGATTGTTATTTTGGAGGAGATTTCGTGGAGGCAGAAATCTCGAGCTTTATGGCTTAAGGAGGGCGACAGAAACACGAAGTTCTATCACAGATTGGTCAATGCTCATAGAAGGGGCAATCATGTTGGGAGGATTCGGGTGGAAGGAGAGATTTTGTCCAAGGAGGAGGATGTTTGCAGAGGTATTGCTGGGTACTATGCCAAGCTATTCATAGAGTTAGCAGGGTGGAGACCTTTGCTTGAGGGGCTTTTTTCTCTACTGAGGAGTGCTTGGGATTGGAGGTGCCTTTTTCTAAAGAAGAAGTTTTGGTTGCTTTGAAGAGCTGTAGCGGGGATAAAGCCCCAGGTCCAGATGGGTTCACCACGAGATTCCTTTTGGACTGCTAGGAGGTGGTTAAAGGGGAGGTGATGGGTACTTTTCATGCTTTCCACATCCAGGGGTCTTTTGAGAAGAGCTTGAATGCTACTTTCATTGCCCTTATTCCCAAAAAGGGGGGGGGGGACGTTCGCCCAGGGGTGCATTTACAAGATGATCGCCAAAGTCCTTGCTTTTAGGTTGAGGAAAGTGTTGGATGGGGTGATTTCTGACTCTCAGAATGCCTTTATGGGAAGTCGCCAGATTTTGGATTCGGTTCTCATTGCTAGCGAATGTGTGGATTCCAGATTGCGCGATGGGGAACCTGGCCTTTTGTGTAAATTGGATATTGAGATGGCGAATGACCATGTGAGCTGGAGTTTCCTTCTCTACCTGATGGAGATGATGAGGTTTGGTGTGGGGTGGAGGAAATGGTTTCACTTTTGCATTTCCAGTGCTTGTTACTCTATTCTTGTGAATGGAGCCCCGACTGGTTTTTTCCCTAGCTCGAGAGGCTTGAGGCAGGGAGATCTGCTATCCCCTTTCTTGTTTCTCTTTGTGATGGAGGCCCTTAGTAGGTTGATGAGGAAGGCGGTTGAGCTGGGTTTTCTGAGAGGGTTCCGGTTGGGTAGGGACGCCGCTTGTCAGTTGGAGATCTCTCACTTGATGTTTGCGGATGGTATGCTTGTGCTTTGTGATGCGGAGGTTTCCCAGCTCAGGTATCTGAGATGTGTCTTAATTTGGTTCCAAGTTGTTTCCGGCCTTAAGGTGAATGTTGGCAAGAGTGTGTTGGTGCCGGTTGGGGAGGTTCCTGAGATCGCTTTGTTCGCTGACATTCTTGGATGTTGTACTGGCTCTTTCCCTATCTCTTATTTAGGGTTACCCCTGGGGGCTCCTTCGAGGTGTGTGGGGGTTTGGGATCCAGTTGTGGATGGGTTTGAGAGGAGGTTGGCGGGATGGAAGAAGCAGTATCTCTTCAAGGGGGTTCTCGGAGGGGGAATCCGACCTATCTCAATAAAGTCTATGATTGGTTCGAAGTTCTTGGCTGACCAAACTAAGAAGAAAATGGCATTCTACATCGTTTGAGACCGTAAGTGAAGGGCGGGTCACTCTTATTAAGAGTACATTTTCTTGTCTTCCTACATATTTCATCTCACTTTTTCAGATCCCTGTCTCTGTTGCTGAGAGAATTGAGCGTCTACAGTGTAACTTTCTGTGGGGGGTGAGGGGGGAGGGGAGGAGTTTAAGTTTCCCTTGGTTCGGTGAGAGCAAGTGTGTAGGCCGATTCGTAATGGAGGATTGGATCTTCGTCGATTGGTGCCTTTCAATAAAACTCTCCTGGGGAAATAGCTGTGGAGATTTGGGGTGGAGAGACATTGGCTTTGGAGGAGGGTCGTCGCGAGCAGTTTTGGGGAGTGCAGAGGAGGGTGGTGCTCTCTTGAGGTGGGTGGCTCGAGGGGTGTGGGGGTTTGGAAGTGTATTCGGAAGGGCTGGGCGGATTTTTCCATTCATGTTCGCTTTAGACTCAGGGATGGCAGAAGGATCAGTTTTTGGGAGGATGTTTGGTGTGGGGACATTTCTCTTGCTCTCGCTTTCCCACGGCTCTTCAGGATTGCCACGGATAGGCAGCCAGGGTGTTCGACCGTTATCATCTTGATAGCGGGAGTCTGGTTTGGGATGTTCGTTTCAAGCGTCCTTTTCAGGATTGGGAGGTTGAGGATGCCACTCGTCTGTTGGAGGTGTTGTATCGGTAGGGTGTCTTGGCTGGAGACTCTGATGGTTGGATTTGGGCTCCCAATTCGCAAGGTCGCTTTGATGTTCGTTCCTTTTTCAGGTGTCTCACAGTGGAGCTCAGAGGGCCTTTCCCGTGGAAGTCTATTTGGCGCTCCAAGGCTTCTCTCAAGGTGACCTTCTTTGCTTGGACCACTGTTTTGGGTAAGATTTTAACCCAAGACAATTTGAGAAGGAGAAATCAGTTGGTGGTCAATCGGTGTTATATGTGTCTTCGGGATGAGGAGACAGTGGATCACCTTCTTTTGCATTGCTCCATTGCCAAAGATTGTTGGGACTTGATACTTGGTTTGTTTGGTGTCCATTGGGTCATGCCTCGTTCCTCTAAAGGACTTGTAGAGGCTTGGAGGGGGTATTCTGTGGGGGCTCATGTTTGTGATGCTTGGAGGGCTAAACCTCTTTGTGTGTGGTGGTGCATCTGGCTGGAGAGGAATAGGAGATATTTTGATGGCATAGAGAGGCCTATTTCTTTCCCTAAGTTCTCTATTGTTTCAACTCTTTTTTGTTGAGTTTCTGGTAGAGATTATAGATCTGTAGAGGATATTGTTTTTTTTGGGCCTCTTTGAGGGCTTAGAGGCCTGTTTTTGGCCTTGTTCTGTTATTTTTGGATGCGTTCCCCTTTTGAGTGATTTCTATGATATCTTTACGTATCAAAAAAAAAAAATATGGTTGGCAGTTAGGCAAGCTGCTAGCTTAAGTGGTATTTCATCGCATTAGAAGAAACAAAAATGCAGTTAAAGAAACAATATCAATGGATGATTACTTTCACTATCATAACAAGCCATGACCTTTTGGTCCATGTGGTATGTCTTTCTCCAGGATGCTGCCACTTGGCAATGTGAGGATGACTGGAGAAAGTGGAAGAGACTAGAAGATAGAATAGTAAATAACTGAAACCAAGGAGAGGTGTAGGATGTGGTCGGGGGCATGTGCATAGCACATGCTTTTCTTTACTATGAATTATCATGACTGTTAGGCCCATAATAGATATAGATTGTAGAATAGATTAACAATAATTGATTTTTATTTTGTCACAGGTATTATTGGAATGCAACAATATGAATCAGTTAAATATAGAGAGCAGAAATAATTAAATCATGCAACCACACAAGAATGCACGATTTTTACGTGTAAAACCCTAAGAAGGGAAAAACCACAGTACCTGATCCAGACAAATTAAATCCACTGTATAAGATAACGATTACAACTAGGGTAACGGTTCAGTGGCCCTCGAACCCCTGGTTACCCCTAAACACAGATGACGCCAAATTTTCTCCCGAAAGTCTCTAGGCTTTCCATTCGCTTGGTTACGTCATCTACTCATGAACCTGCTTCTCTAGTGGTTTCAGTCTCAGCCACTAGTTGTCCGGTTGTATGTTTGTTATGTAGAAACACTTTGGTGTTGACGATGTTGTAAGTTGCACAAGATGATGATCAACACTCCAAAAAATCACTCACCATCTAATTCAAGATGAAGATGATGAAAACAAAAATATATGATCTCTCACTATTGTATGTGTATAGATCTCTCTGTTACTGTGTATGTTTATGAGAGCCTAGAGGTCTTTATATAGTGCTTTGAGTTCAAAGAATTAGGTTTTTTAGTTATAATCAGATTAGGAAACCTAAACCTTTTAGAATTCTGATTTAGAGCAGTTGACGATGTTGTAAGCTGCACAAGATGATGATCAACACTCCAAATGATAAGTCACCATCTAATTCAAGATGAATATGCTGAAAACAAAAATATATGATCTCTCTCTAATGTATGTGTATAGATCTCTCTGTAACTGTGTATGTGTATAGATCTCTCTGTAACTGTGTATGTGTATGAGAGCCTAGAGATCTTTATATAGTGCTGGAGTCCAAAGGAATTAGGTTTTTTAGTTATAATCAGATTAGGAAACCTAAACCTTTTAGAATTCTGATTTAGAGCAGTTTCCAAAAATTGTCCGTGCACAGTTTGATCGATCCATCTATCCATCGAGCTACATTCGCATTGCTTCAATCTGTCAACAGATCCATCGAGGCTTATTATTTTTGTAAAATTTCCTTGTTTAAATATATGTTAATTCCAAAAATAACTTAATGCATTAAGAACAATTTTTTTTATTTTTTATTTTATGAATGAAGATGTGTATGCATTGTGTCCTAAAATGATAATGTGATCATGAAACTCTAATCAGTGAGTTAGTTATTCAAGAGTTGATTTTACCTTTTTGCCCTTTGGTGTATCTTTATTTTCTGATTCTGGTCTTGGATATAGGTACCACCACAAACTAACTAAACTAACTTTTAAAAATCTAAGCAAAAGCTAAAAATAAAAATAAAGAGACTGGCTTTTGTGACAAATTTTGCCAACACTAAGTTCTAATATTAACAATGACTAATGGTGGAATTGATGATTTGATTATTCAAAAAGATTGTTTAGGATGAAGGAATTTCTTTAAGAGGAGGAAGCAACCTAACTATGCGACCGGCCCACATGGTAGTAAAATCCTATGAATTTCCTTGGAACTCAAGTTAATTTATTGAAGACTTTTCCCTTACCTGCTTGTCTTCTTTGTACATTTATTCTTCTTTGTACATTTATTTGGACAAAAATGTTCTCCAAAATAGTGCAAGTGACCAAGCACTTTTATTATTATTATTTTTTTTCCTACTGTTTTATTTGCATTTTTTGATACATTTGTTATCTGCAAGGTCAGTTTTTATATCCTGTAGTTGTCCACAGGAGCTTTCAATTTTTTTTTTTTTTTTTTAATGGTCTCTCATTGAAGGAAACATTATCTTGTTGTTTCTCTTCTCTTTTACAAAAATCTTTTGTTCCCTATCTTATGTTTATATATTTTCATTCTTCTTTAGCCTAATAAATTCTAAATATATTTCTTTAAGTCAATTTAGAACATGCCCTCCTGCAAGTAAAATTGAAAGTGTCTCCCTCAACCTCTAGTGGATGGTGTGGAAGGAAAGAGTTTGGCATTTAATCTGATTGAAAGTTATATATATATATATTTTTTTGTTCCGGTAAATCTGGTCTGAAAGTTAAAACTTCAGATCCGTAGTTATCTATATTTAATTTTTGACTGCTATATTGATTTTCTTGGTTATATAATTTCTAGGTAGGTTTTAGACCTCCCTTGGGGGTCTCTCTCGATGCTCAAGCTTTATGATATACTTTATGTGTTTGACAAGCAAAGATACATTAGAAAGCATTCAAGAGGGGAACGCATCCCAAAAGCTACACCACGCTTTATGATTTACTTTTAGTTGTCTCTCTCTCTCTCTCTCACACACACACCCACACAGTAAAAAAACCTTCTTGCAAGTAATGCGTAGTAAAAATATGTTTCATGTTAGTCTGACAAAGGTTTTGTTTTCCTTTTGGATGAACTGAGCTAGTTGTTTGTTGCATTTTTTTGTTCTCTTAAAATTCTATTTTTTTAGTAATAACTCAAACTGAATGGAATTGTACATAAATAATTTGTTGTGGTAGTGCTTTTGGTTGTGAAGCCACACTGCTGGACCTCAAGCAATTAATGTATTAAATTGACTAATGACATTACTATTAAAGTATTTAATAGTCCAGTCTTCCTCTTCTTCAATCCTCTTCTAATATAATTTTTATTTTCAGGGTTCTTTGCCCATTTATTCCAGCAAGATTGCTGTGAGTGTGGTTGACAATGTTTTGCTTGTTCATCAAGTGGATGCAAAGGTTGTTATACTGTATGACATATTCGCAGATTCCCGAGCACCTATATCTGCTCCACTTCCTCTATTGTTGAGAGGTTTTGCTAGGCCCAGTGCTTCGTCTTCGCAGATGAGCATAAAAGATTCCGAGAGTTCAGAAGCAAAAGATTTGAGTAAAAATGAAGCAATTATTTATGGTGATGATTGGGCTTTTCTTGTTCCAGATCTTATATGCAGTGTTGCTAATGGATTGTTGTGGAAAATACATTTGGACTTGGAGGCAAGTTCTGATTGTTGGTTTCTGCATTCTCTCTTATTAAGTCATCTGTTTTCCTTGCAATGAAATATCACCCTTACCTCGCAGGCTATTTCTGCCAGTAGTTCAGAAGTGCCCTCAGTGCTAGAGTTCTTGCAGCGAAGGAAGTTGGAAGCAAATAAGGTAATAGCATCTCATTTAAATTTTAGTATGCTCTTAGACAGTGAATTCATGTGGCCGACTCCATTCATATGGGAATAAATAGCCCTTGGAGGGGCAAATCCATCACCTAGGACAAGTCATTCACAACAAATTGAAATCATTACTCAAAATAATGCTGAAATAATGGAATGGTATTGTTTCTTGGATTCATCTCATTTAAATTTTAGTATGCTCTTAGACAGTGAATTCATGTTGCCCACTCCATTCTTTTTTTCTTTGTTTTTTTTTTCCTAGTTGGTACTCACACACATGTCTCTCCTGAGACTTGAACCCCTGACCTCCCTTTGGGAAGTAAGAGGCTGATACCGCTAGGCCACTGGCCCGTTAGTTTGCCCACCCCATTCATATGGTAATAAGGCAAGGACGATGATGAAAGCACTTGGAGGGGCAAATCCATCATCTAGGACAAGTCATTAACAACAAATTGAAATCATTACTTGACATAATACTGAAATAATGGAATGGTATTGTTTCTTGGATTCATCTACATGATTCTGTACATGTAGGGATGCATGTGTGTTTGTAATGCTTATAAATAATTTTAGGGCCTGGTTGGATTCAAGCTGTTTGCTTAAGTTGTATCTCCTGCCACTCCCAAAGGGAGAGGTGTAGGCTTCAAGCCCCAGTAGGATGCACATGTGTTTGTAATGTTATAAAAGAATGTAGGGCCTGGTTGGATGGCCCTTTAATTTGAATGGCCTCGTTCGTTCATGTACTCTGCTTCTATGTTTGGTTGGAAGGAAGGATTGAGGAAGGATGGAAGAGAGAGGGATAAAAGAAGCTTCCCTTGTTTGGTTGGAAGTAAGCAAGGAGGGATGAAGCATCCCTCCTTAACCCAAGTTTTTTCATCCGCTCAAAATTAGGTGGAAGAGAGGAAGGAAAGATAGAAAAACTAGTCTATAAATATAAATTACCATTTTTAGCTTTCAGTTATCTACAAAATTACAAAGACTCTCCCCCCTCCCTTCCAACCAAACAAAATAAGGTGTCACATTGTCCATCCTTTCCATTAATTCTTCCATCCGACCAAACCAAAAGTGAGGGGAGACACAATCACTTCCCTAGGGATGCCTCATCGATCCCTCCCCGTCTCCCTTCCATCTATTTTCTACCCTCCTACCAAATGGAGCATAAAGTATCTATCATCTTGAATGGAGTTCTTTAAGAAAATGTGCTACCGTCTTTGAAAATGATGATAAGAATGTTGAATGTAACCCAAGTAAACTTAAAAGAGGTCACACACTCAATAATATGTTTTGGTGTCCCATTTTCTCAAGTGTCTCCATTTAATATATATAATAAATGGAATCCATCAAATTAAAATGACAATGAACATGTCTGTAGTGAATGAATTTGTTTTAAATCTTGTGTGGCACTAAATGGAACAATTTTTTTTTTCTTCTTCTTGTGGTGTCCCAATATCCATTTTAAAGATGTTCGGTGCACACAACTATTTTAAAATAGAACTCAAAATTGGTAGTTATGCTATGCCACTTGCTGTTTCAGGCTAAACAATTGTGCTTGGCAATAGCTCGCACTATCATTCTGGAGCGAAGACCTGTGTCCATGGTTGCTAGGGCAATGGATGTATTAGTTACCTCATACTCGTATTCAATCAAAACGGGCAGTTATTTCAAGGGAATTAAAGCAGAGAAGACTTCACCTTCTGGTGTTCCACCTGTGAATAATCCTGGTACTATTGCTGATGAATCCACCAGTAGGGTAGATGCATTTGGAAAATCCATCGCACATGAATCTGCTGGTGGGGACAATGAATCTATTAATAGGTGTTCTTTTTCGGCTTCAGACTCCGAGGATAATGCTAGCTCTGAACAGCAGAAAAGCAACTCACATGATGGTCATTCTTTTGGTGGTAAAACAGATGGAGAAAACTTGATGGGAGCTGAAATACATCCATCAGATTTACGCTCTAAGCTTCTTCGACCAGGTACCAATCCGTTGAATGCTAATGTCTCTGAGCAGCAGGAGTCTCAAGTTGTCTCTGCGGCAATTTCATCAGATGAGATGCACAGCTTTGTGTTTGCTGTTGTTGACGAAGAGATGTCAGGAGATTGTTCCTACTTGGTAGCCATCATTGTTGAGTTCCTGCGAAGGTACCTTATTTATTTATTTATTTACCTCAACAAGAAACTCACACACCCACTTTGCGTCTATGAGGACTTGAACCCTCGGACTTCTACTTTGGAAGGTGAGGAAGTACCACTAGGCTACAGCCCTTGGTTGAAGGTACTATTTTAAGAAACACTATTAATATTATTATGAATTTAAATATGATAGTGGAGCTTTGCATTCACAGTAGTGCCGAGCCTATGTTAGCCACTGTACTGAGCATTTATAACCAGGAACATGAATACGCGTGAAAGGACTCCCTTTATAATCTTTGCTATATCCCCTTCTCTCAATCTATTAAGGAGTTAAAGTGAATATGAGGAACTTGACTTTTTTCATATTAGTAAATGGTTTCCAACAAGGCTCTGCCAAATCTCTGCCAAGCCACCAACTGTTTTAATGGTTAATTGGGACAGGTCCATGCCAATATGTATTTCATACACACACAAGCAGACGTGTGTACATGGTCAAATAGCAACAAAGGTTGTTTAATTGCCAGTTTTAAAAAATTACAATTACAACAAAATATTGTGTATTAAAAAAATAAGGCAGGGGTATACAGATCCGTTTGGGCCAGGTCAGAATGTGATCAAGCTATCAGTGCTGAGGTAGATTGGTCTGGTGGGCTACTGAACCTAGCTCAAGATATGTAACGGAATGGTCGCTAACGTGGTGAGCCACTTGGTCCAGGTGGACTAATATAGCGATAAATTAGAAGATGTTTTAAACATTGACAATATTTTGATGTTTACAAACATTGATAATATTTTCATTTTGCTAACCCAAATAGTTGGCTTTTGTTCTGGTGGTCCCTTACGTTGTTTCTTTGCTATTTCTGTTTTCACAGTGCTAATCTGGAAAAAGTTAAAGTACATCCGAATCTTTATGTGTTGACCATACAACTGTTGGCCCGCAACGGGCGATATACAGAACTAGGATTATTCGTTATAAACAAGGTTTACACACTCTCTCTGTTATAAAGTGTTTGTGCTTGGGCTTGATGAAAGTCTGCTGTGTTTATGATAAGTTTCAAATTTGAATCCGTTCTGTTACAGATTCTTGAACCCTCGAAAGAAGTTGCATTGCAACTTCTGGAGTCAGGTCGTCAGAATTTCCAGATAAGGAAGTTAGGTCTTGATATGCTAAGACAACTCACGTTACATCATGATTATGTTTTGTTACTAGTGCAAGATGGATATTATATTGAAGCTTTACGTTATGCACGAAAAAATAAGGTAATTACTGCTATGCTTTCTTTGATATAAGAAATGAACTGAATTTTTTTTAAGTTATCTGAATTTCAAAAAGTTCCATTAAATTAGATTTATTATCGTTCTTATTGTCTCATTTTCAAGCCTAGTTACGAATCACATTTGCTACTTATTGTCAATTTTGTTTACTGAAAATTATGCCTTGTTGGATATTTAGGGAAATAAATTGGGGGAATCTCTCCTTTTCTATTTGTTGGATTAATGAAACTTGGAAACCTTTCTATAACACATACCTAAGTAGACAATAAACACTTATGTGACTCTGCATTGAAAATTAATGTGGTGTTTAAAAAAATCCGGCCTTGCTATTAATTTAGGGAGAACAACTACTCTGATTTTTCACCAACACGCGAAATGTTTGGACAGATTATATTTTGTTGTTGGTATGAGTTACCAAAAATTTAAGGATTTCTAACATAAGTATGGGGGTGGATTTCAGGTCAATAGTGTCCGACCTTCACTGTTTCTTGAAGCGGCTTATACTTCTAAGGACTCCCAACATTTAGCAGCAGTGCTAAGATTCTTTTCTGATTTTATTCCGGGCTTTAAGAACACTACAGAGCACAATGCATATTGCCGAATTCTTGCCGAGACAAATTCATCCATTTCTGCTTGAGGTGTTCTCTGAGTAGAAGTAATTATGCATCCTCCAAGTGTTACCCCTTGGCTTCTCTGCTGGTTAACGTTTTTGGATGCTTCCTAGTCGAGATAAAAAAATCTGGCATATATTATATATGAGGAGTGTGAAAATGAACCAGTTATTCCTGCTGCTTTGTTGCATCCATATTATAGTATCAGATACCCGTATGTTTGTTTTTGATGCTGTAATACCAGTGTTGGGTTTTGATACAGTGATGCCACTATCAGAAGCACAAAGAAAACTTCAGAATTGGGCTAAACAATGTTTTTATTTCTACAGTACGAAAGGTAATTTACATAGAGGCTGTTGTTTTGGTTCTTGGTTGCTTACAGAAAAGAGGGGATGAACCCCCCCCCCCCCCCCCCCCCCCCCCCGGGGCGGAGAGTTCTAATATTCTTTTGTTGACCCTCTTCATAAGGAGTATCATGTATGACCATTAACATAAGATAAATGAATACAACATCTCTAGATTTTCAAGATTAATCTTCAACACTTTGGTTTCTACCAATATCTCTAATGTCATCTCTCTCTCTCTCTCTCTCTCTATATATATATATATATATATATGCATAATTAACCAAAAAAAGTATTTAGAACTCTCCTTGTGGTCGTCTACCTATATATATAATATCATCTTTCCTCTAAGCATTCTGAGAAAAAGCTATCACGAGGATGGTCTCATGGTGAGTTTATTATGGACATGTCATCAGGTGTGTATTGGGATATGGTGGTCCTGGGCGTCCTAAATAGGTGCGAGTAAGGAAACTCACAAGCTATATGTTGTGTTGGGGGAACTGTTGGTCTGGGACAGCTGTGTTCTCAGACGTCCCCCTCATGATTACCTTACTTTTTTGCAGTGACATTGTACCAGTTTTTTTTTTTTTTTTTTGGTTCTCTTTCGCTAAGTTGTCCACTTCTATCATAGTTGAATATAAAATTTTCCTTTCCGTAGCAGTTAGTTGACCATAACTTCGTTAATTTGCAACTATCCACCAACATGTGACCCGGGAAGGGTCTGGTTCTTAACTTTTTAATGACTTTAATCTTTTCCTTGTTACCGGTGGACCCTGTGTTAGGAGTCCCTTGGGTGCTCTATGAGACCCAGTGCGTCGGATAAAGCCATAAAGGGTGTGTGAGTTGTGTAATTATCAGACTAACCAATGCTAAAATATACTTTTATATATATATATAATTTATGTATGAGTTTTAATTCTGCTAATAGGTAGGGGTGATATTATTATTATTATTATTATTATTTTCCGTTCAGTTAGGGGTGTAATTAATTGATCATGGGTGGGTAATGCAACGACGTGGTGGTGCCCTTATTGTGAAACTGATTAATACTTGCTACCTAATAACTTGTTTGATCGTTGATACTTGATAGAGATAGATGAGGAGTACTGTACAGTGATAAAGATGGTTGGTTTATATTAAACGCCAATTTCAAATTTAATCGTTTTTCCTCTTCACTCTAAACTTGACAGTGATAGATATTCAAATGATAAGATGATTCTCTCTTATAGTACAAAAACTTTTTTTTTTTGGCAAATAATCCAAAAGGAAAAAACTTGTAATGTAAATATCAAATTGAATAAAGATATATATGTGTGTATATATATATATATATTGCACATAGGTGACAGTTTGACACTTTACCAAAAGGGAAGTGATATTGGCATTCTATAAACTTCTCTATCTCTCCAACTCTTTATTTTAGTAAACAATATGACTAAACTGTCATTTTCTCCTCCTCCTTAATCTTACAATTTTATTAAGGAATTCATTAAATTGGAACTCTTCTATCATTCTTTCAATTCGGAAACCATAACACTTGTAAATCTACAAACCCACAAATTATATGAATTGAATGGTAGATTATGGTCTCCTAGTAGTGAATTTTGCCAGTTGTAATTGATGCAATGTTATTATTATTATTATTTTCTGGTAAATAACTATGCTGGATGTTATTGTTGAATGCAAATTTTCAAATCTTGATTCTACCTTGAGTTGTTAATCAAAATTTTCTGCTTGCAATGGTTCTTTGACACTGATGTTAATGTTAAGATTATTATATATATTACTCATACATTGACTAATTGTTTGAGGTATATGTGAGATCTATGCTGTGAAAATTTTAATTAAAGAAGAGAACCCAATAAAGATGGACAGGAAACCCTAAACACAAATTGTTGGCAGTTTACATATGTGCGTATAAAAATAGTAAGTTGTAAGATAGAGGAGAAAATAGTAATTTAGTCATTTTATTTATTAAAAATGCCAAGCAGTTCGTGCAATGAGATAATGCAGATTCTTAGTTAAAAAAAATTCCAAGGATATCTGTTTGATACTTTTAACAACCATTCATTAATCAAAATAAGTTTTATAATCCATAATAATAATAATAATAATAATAATAATACAAAGAGTAGGAGAATTCTATAAAATCATGAAACGGAAGATATCTAATGAATGGAATGATTTTTTTGATAAAGATAAATAGGACCAACGGTAATTCAAATGGATATAAAAATAAATTTTTTATATACTTCTTATTATTTATTAATTAGTGTCCATAAATCTCACAATAGGCATTAAAAGATTGACAGTGAACTTAGTTGCCTAGTAACCACAAACAAGTGTCTAAATTAATTGATTGCTTCTACCGACAGGCATAACTATTTTCATGGCTGCGTAGAAAATGAGGTGATGATATTATCAGAAGGTCAATCTGTTGGGTTTTACTTTTTACTTTTTACTGTACTATTTTAGGGGCACATACAAACCTAACTCGGATTAAGACAGTTGGAAACTAAACAATGCAGAAGGAATCCTTTTTAGTTACAATGAGTGTTTGGTAGACAGCATTTCTCTCCCTTTGTGGGAGTAGCTATAATAACTAAACAATTAGAATACTCTTTTTGAAACCATAAATAATACAATATAAACAACTTTCTTGCAAAATGTCAAAAAATATACTAATTAAAATGTCCACTAAAGTTTCATAAAATATTGCTAAAAAAACCCCCTCTACTCTTCTACCGTAAAAAAAAATAAATGGAAAGAAGTCACGTGTCATGCACTTGAGATATATAATAAATTATACTTAATGACCATATTAATATCTTTTAGTTTCACGGAATTTTCATTGGCTTTATATGGATAAATTATTTTGATCTTTTGAAATTTAGAGTTCTTTTGAAATTTATAATGCGCGACACCTTAGTGTTTTATTTTAGATTTATTGACCAAATTTTATAAAATGAGAATTTTATTTTTCTCTGGAATAAAATGTAATATAATACGCAGTATATTATTATAATTTAGAACATTATTTACTTTTTGTAGTTAAAATTGACAAATTAGTTCAAGAGAAATTGACAAATTAGTTTAGGAGAGAGCAAAATAATAACTACGCCTAATTTATTCAGACTCTAAAAAAATGAATGTACAAGAACAAGCACATTTAATTATTTATTATCGTTCCTGTAATACACGCGCAAATCACAGTACAAAGAAAGTTTTTTTTTTCCATTCCGTAATTTACGCATATTGGTGCTTTCATTCACTGTCATTAGTTTAGACCTGCTATCCTATTTAGACCCCCGGGTCGTCAATATCATCGCACACGTACGTCTGCAAAAAAAAAAAAAAAAAAAATGAAATGAAAACGGAAATGACATTTCGTCTCTCACAAAGAAAAAACGAATGAAAGACAAACGGACGTTTAACTCCACACACACCCTCATTACTTTCTCTCTCTAGATTGGACGTTGAACCTACTCGCACTCTCTCTCCCCCTACGCACACGCTCTTTTCGTGTCCTCTCTCTCTCTCTCTCTCTCTCTCTCTCTGTGTCTGTGTGTCTAAAGTATAGATCTTCTTTTACTAGCAGAAAGTATAGATTGAAAATGTGTTTTTGCCTTTCAATGAAATGGCATCGCTTCCAAGGCAAGCAATATAATCTCGTAAAATAGCCCTAGTATAAGCCTCACATTTCTCTCTCTCATAATCCTTATGATGATTATGTTCTTCCTTTACTTTCTCTCACAGATCCTTTACTCCTGAAAAGATATCCGGTACAATTCTATCTCTCTCTATTTTTATTGTGTATTCGTTTACTGCTCGGCTGATTTCTTCAAATCACACTATATAATGTGTTAATTTGTTAAACGATTCTACTTGTTTTTCTTGATTGTTAGTAATTCTTAGTTGTTTCAATTTGAAGCTACAATGGCGCCGAAACGAGGATCGGCCACTAAGAAATCGAGCTCAAAAGCAGGGAACTCGCCTTCGTCATCGACCACGACGTCGTCCAAACAGTTTCCTGAAGCTTCCGTTGACGGTCTGAGTTCACCGGCGTCGTCCGCGAGGAGTAAACCGCAGTACTTCTACTCCGAGAGTTTGGATGCAGAGGGATCCAAAGAGAATGTAACTGTTACTGTCCGGTTTCGGCCGCTCAGGTGCTTTCTGAATTTCCGAATTTGGTCTACTTTTTCGTTAATTTTATGATTTGGAGTGTTTCGTTCCAATTTTGAATTTCCGATTTCGGTTTAATTATTTGTCAATGTTTCTGAACGTTTCGTTCGTGTTTGGAGTAGTCCAAGAGAAATTCGGCAAGGAGAAGAGATTGCATGGTATGCAGACGGTGAAAGCATTGTACGGAGTGAGCATAATCCATCGATTGCATATGCCTATGGTACGTGATTCTGACATATTTGGAGAAAAAAAGTTCAAAATACTTGTGGAGTCTTGAAATTTATTACCTTTCCTGTCCACATAACTAGTTAAAGAAGTGAATGAGGAACTAAATAATTTGTAATGAAGAAACCACTGGAATGCAAAAACAAAGAGTTATCAAAAATAAAATGAGAAGTTTATATACCATTAAATTATTTACTCTGTGGTTAATCTTGACAATTTGGTAGTTAGATTATAAAATGTATGAGTAGGTTTAAAACTTTAAAATTGTATTTACTTATCTAGAAACAAGTGACATAAAAGTTCTGGAAAGGGTGGAAATTGTATGAATAAATATACATGTTTGTTTTTCTTGTTCAAATGGTTAATTGGTTGGTTGTTGCGTGTGTTTTAAGATATTTTGACTTTGCAAGTGTCATAAACTGACCTAAACCGTATTACTCCTCATTAGTGCACTGACAGCTCATGGTTGCATTTGTCCAAAACATCTCCATCAACCTTTTCTCAAATTGTGTTGGTTGGTGGCATCATATTCTGAAAATTCGTTCATGGTTTTAATTTTATCCATTATAGTCATTAATCTCATTCATCTCAATTTAGTTATGTTGCATCTGTAAACATGATTATTTATGATTGCCTTAGATCCTATACTGCAATTCATGAATGGACAATTTTTTTGTTGCAGAAAGTTTCTTTCAATTGAATTGGTAAATGTAAAATGTACTGTACTTAGTTGTCTTATTATTAATGATCCTTAGACCACCTTTGGTTGTTAGAACTAAAAGGCACTAATTAGTCTGATCGTAGTATTTTGGGTGCCTCCACCTAATGGTAGGGTATCTCAACCCAAACCTAGGCAAAAAGGAAGGGGGTTGATTGTGGTGGAGGTATTTGCATTCCCTTGTGTGTGGGAATAAAAACACTAGTAGAGAGGAGGTGTAGTGACCATGATTTTCACCAATCCATTAAGGTGCTCCCATATTGGTTAGTGATTACATCTCCTACAAATACTATTTTTTCTTTCTATACTTTATTAGTCATAATTTTGATTCAATTCCACTTGATTCCATGTGCATTCACATTTCACATATAGGAATCCCCCAATTCCTCGAATATGGATTTCAATTAATGATTCCAATTCCAAACATGGCCTCAAGATAGTCATAAATCACTTGCCATAGAAAGGGTTGTAATAACACCATTATGCGTGTTTATTACTCCAATTAGTGAGGGATTTGAATGCGTTGATCTCATTAATCCTAAAAAAGGTGTGGTTGATTTGAAGGATTGTTGTGTGCGCTTTATGTTACCATACTTATTCTTCTTCATAAAGAGTGATGAGTTGGTAGTTTGTAAGTTTGGTACTTAAAAGGCTTACGTACTAGTGAACTGGAGCCTTTTACTGTATGTGATAAAAAGATGGGTTTTAGGTGCCAATGGAACACAATTGGATCAGTTCGCACTTCTCGACAGTTAGGTTCTCTGTTTTGGTTTGTGACTTGAGATTTTTTTGCCAACTTTAGAAATTTGCAACAACGGCCCTTTTGCCTCTTCTCCATATTATAGTAATGGAGGATTTTGTTGGATGATTAAAGAAAACAGTTGATATGTCAATGATACGATTACTTTTGGCACGCCAAGGGACAAGGCTGGTAGCTACACTATTTTCACGGTTATGTATCAGTTTTAAGGCAAATCCTCAGATGAAAAGGTGGGAAAGATGGATAATTAAGCTACCATTTTGCATCTGCAAGGTGGGCTGTCTACCTTCTACGTATTTGGTGCTAAAATTGACTTTTTGAGTGCTTTTGTGAGAGCAAAGGCTATGTGGGATTGAGTAGTATAGAGGTTCAAGAGGAGATTGTTAGTAGAATAGACAATTCTTATCCTAGGGAGGAAGGTTAATGCCTCAACCTTCTTTCACTTGCTTCATGTAGCTCTTCACAATTACATCATCAGTAGCAGATAGACTTGAGAGCTTATGGAATCATTTTCTTTGGGGCGGGATTTGGAGGATGAATTTAAGTACCATATGGTGGACTGGGCAGCGTGTGGGATCCATTGTAGGGGTTGAGGCTCTGAAAGCTTAAGGTGCTCAATCAAAACCCTTTTAGGTAAGTGTTTATGGATTGTGACAGATGGGAGAAACCCATAGGAAAGATGGTGGAAGGAAAGTATTAGGGCTCCATGGCTTGGTCTCTGGAAAGGGATTGAGAAGTGGCAGTGACTGCTCATTTCATTACTTTCTGTGGGAGATTGTCAGAAAGTTTACCTTTGTCTCACATTTGGTGCTGGGAGGTAGATCTGAAGACATCGTTTGCAGAGATTTCTGGCATTGCGGAGAACAAAGAAGCTGTGGTGGTGGTGACTGCTGCATATCTCAGGTCTGCTGAGTAAGATGTAATGTGTGATCTTTTAGATTTATGTGTTAGTTGATTATTGGGAGGTGGATGTAGTGGATGAGCTGAGCTGTTTAATGTTTAGTAGAAAATGTTGAGGGAGGGGGTGGTGATTGAAAAGCTGGTGCTTTGAAGTCTTATTACATGGTGGTGTTTTTTCCAAGCTTGAAAGTTGCGGAAACAAGCTTGAGCTACTTCATTTGTTCTGCAGCCTTATTCAAAGGTTCTACATTGAAATAAAACAACTTCCAAGCTGGCCTTGTTTCAAGTTTGTTCTTCAAATAAATTTTTTTTTTGTTGTAAAAACTTTAAATATTGTTCTAGTTTGTTGTACGTGTTTGTTAATCCTTTTTTATTTCTCTCAATAACTCGAAGAAATATTATGCTTTCTTTCCATGTCAATTATTCATCACATGTTTGAAATGTAAAAACTTGTACAAACTAATCATTTGATTAACATTCTATATATAATTGAATGTCTTCTTGGTATGCTTCCAGATCGGGTATTTGGCCCTACAACTACAACACGTCATGTCTATGATGTTGCTGCACAGCATGTTGTTAGTGGTGCCATGGAAGGCGTCAATGGTAAAGAGTATTATTCTTTATTTGTGTCTTAGTTTGTCTGAATTAATGTTCTTAAATCGATCTTGTTCTGGGGAAACATGTTGATTTTGTTCAATCATCAGTTTGTTTCTGATTATATTGGTTTGGGAAATGAACTTATTATGTTGTTAACACAAGTAGTATGTTCCAATTATGTGGAGCAATTGTTGTTCTCCTGCTTGTCTAATCTCTAGTAAAACATTGATGCTCTATAGTTGAATATGATAAATACATGATTTTTCAGTCTCATTTTCCTGTATTAGTTTATAAATTTAGGTTGCATGGCGTAATACTTGGAGTCATTTGATCCTCCTTCTCTTGTAATATAATCGATTGCTCAACAAAGCATGATAGGCTATGCTCGTGGTGATCGACTAACACCAGTTTCTGCATCCTCTCTTTGGCCTTGTCCAGCAGTCCCCACTTGCTTGTTTGACTCCTGGGCATTGGTTGTACCAGAGTGGCTTGTCCTAGTTGTAAATTATACTTGGGCCTTTGGCCCCCCTACTAATCGTTACATTCTTTAAATTATTTACTTGGATGCAAAAAATATCTTAATTATTTGGAGGGAAGGAAACTTTACTCTCTATTCTTAAAATTATTTATCTACAACAACCGCCACCAGCCTTTTTCCCAACTACTTGGGCTCGGCTACATGAGTTCTATGTGTCTATTCCACTCTCAGTTAATCCACATGCTAGCATATCCATCCTTGCTAACTCTACAACTAACTCTACCCAGGTTAATTTTGGTCTTCCTCTTCCCAACAACAAACCTTCAATGTGGACTATGTCAATTTTCCTAACTAGTGTACTTAAAGGTCTCATTTGCACATGACCAAACCATCTCAAGTTCTTAACCGATTTTCACCCATTTAATTTCCAAATTGTGCTACTCCAACCATCTCCCAAATGTGATTATTTTTAATTCTATCCTTTCTAGTCTTACTGCACATCCTTCTCTACAATTGTAATTTTGCAAACTTTATGCATGTGTTGTTTCCTAGCTACCCAACATTCTGTGCCATAAAGTATGGCTGTTCTAATAGCTGCTCGATAGAACATCCCTTTCAATCGTATGGGCATGCGCCTATCACTTAATATATTAGATGCACTCCTTCATTTAACCCATTCTATGATTAACGCCATCTCCAATTTCTCCTTCATTACGAATAATTGAGCCTAAATAGCAAAAATGGTCATTTTTTTTGTACCTCTTGATTCTCAATCCTCACTAAATCCTCATTTTTATTTCTAGATTTACTAAAGTTACACTCCATATATTCCATTTTATATTCTTAAAATTATTTATCTAAATGTGAAAAAAGGTTTAAATAATTTAGAGATAAATGTTAGGGGCTTCTCTTCAAATAGCTTCTGTTAGGCTTCGTAGGTCTACATATATTTCGGGGTAGGCTGAAGGTTTATGGTGGCTACCTCTAGATGTTCAGGACTTGTGCTGAGACCTTTTAGGCTTAATTATGTAGTTAAGACGCCTAATCTAGCCTTAACTGACGATTTGAAGATATTAACCAGTGTTTGCATAAGATGACCTGGGAGAAGTGGAAATATGCTGCATGTCTGCCTGTCGATAGCAGATTTTAGTAAGATCCTGCCAATACCTACTATGAGGATGGCTTAGAGCTCTATTTGGTAACACATGCATTTTGTATTCTGGGGATGGAATTTGCAGTCAACTAGGTGGACTTAGAATATCTTTTCTGTTATGAAAGTGTCAAATGCTTTTTTATTCTAGGTGATGGCAAGATGGAGAAAGATCATATAGAAAGGTTTCCCATAGAATGGCGATGGAGATGATGAATGGGGTGCATGACTTGATAGTTTGTGCAACTTCAAGAAGTGATACATCTGTAGGCAGGAGGAGGGCATTTGATTGAGATCACACTCTTGTTATCATTCTGGTATGTGTTGGTTTCATGGGGTGAGAAATCTTAACTACAAACATACAATATGTGTTCAAAATTCTGCCTTGTGATACTAAAGTTGAAGGTTTTTTTAAGAAGAAAAATATTCAGTCTTCTTATCTTTCAAGAGAGACGATTACAAGATAAATAGTAGAGGAAGGCCACCAAATCAGGAAGCCCACAAAATCAGCAAATCAAATCAGCAAAACTCTAGGCTAGAAAACAGGAAACAGAAACTACTAAAATCTGAAATAGTACTTTCAGATTTTATTTTCAAAAATTGAATTTCCTAATTTATTTCCTAGAAATCCGACACCCCCCCCTCAAGTTAGAGCGTAGATATCTATCATGCCCAACTTGCTTATAAAAAGCTCAAAACTAGATCCGAAAAGTCCTTTGGTGAAGATATCAGCTATTTGTTGAGTAGTAGGAACAAAAGGCATGTAAACAGCTCCACTATCAATCTTCTCTTTTATGAAGTGTCTGTCAATCTCCACATGCTTCATGCGATCATGTTGTACTGGATTTTGTGCAATACTTATGGCAGCTTTGTTGTCACAATACAACTTCATTGGCATGTTCATCGGCATCCGCAGCTCATCAAGAATTCTCTTCAACCATAGTATCTCACAAACTCCGTTAGCCATAGCCCTATATTCTGCCTCAGCACTGCTCCTTGCAACCACATTCTGTTTCTTGCTTCGCCATGTGACCAGATTTCCCCAGACATAAGTACGGTATCCTGACGTGGATCTCCTGTCAATTACCTAGGCTGCCCAATCTGCATCAGTGTATGCCTCTATGTTCTGCTGTGTGGTCTTTTGGAAGAGTAAACCCTTGTATGGTGTATTTTTCAAGTATCTGAGAATCCGATAAACTGCTTCAAGATGTTTCTTGTAGGGTGAATGCATAAACTGGGTTACCAAACTCACAGCAAAAGCAATATCGGGCAATATATGTGTTAGGTAAATTAACTTTCCCACCAACTTTTGATACCGAGTTGTATTCACTTGACCACCTTCCTTGTCATCTCCAAGTTTCTGATTGGGATCGACTGGAGTGTCTGCTGGCCTACAACCACTCATCCCAGTCTCCTTAAGGAGTTCAAGGACATACTTCCATTGGGAGACAACAATCCCTTTCTTTGACCGAGCAACCTCCATTCCAAGGAAATACCTTAGAGATCCTAAGTCCTTGATCTCAAATGTTGATG